GTATCCAGTTAATTTCCCAAACCCCAACCCCATCCAGTAAACAACAGCTTCTTTCCAGGTAGCCAGAGTCACCACCACAGCCACAGGTCACCTCAGCTGTGAAGCCACGTAGGAGCCATCTGGATGTAGCCCTGCCTGCAGGACGGAGCCCGTGCATCGCCGCCGTCACCGCTGTGAAGAAGCAGTTTGACCTCATGAAGCAGGTGGCCACCCTGACCACGGGCGAGTGCGTGCTCTGGACCACAGCCCAGCCCGAGGTCACAGGACCCCAGCTGCCCAGTCAGCCCCTGGGACCAGCTGGGATGGGCCGCTGCCTTCTCTGTAGACACCCCTCGGGTGCCCCTTGCCCATTGTTCCTACCCCAGCAAGCATCACCCTCCCTCAGAGGACTACACCCAATCCTTCTCCTCTCTTCTGGGGACACAGCCAGCCTGGAATTGGTGCCCTGTGCTAAAATGCCTTCTGTCCCTAATGCTGTGTTGAGCGCTGTGCTGTGGGGGATAGCATTGTCAGGCTTTCCCGGTTGACCTGCTGTTGGGAGCCCTGTAAGTGCATGGTAATAAGAAATAAAGGGATATATGAAAGCCAAGAAAACAAACAAACGAAAACAGCTTCTCTCCTTCCAAGGCATTGTAGGAATTGTAGGATAGTTTCCCCTCTGGATACCAGGTTTTGCCTTCCTAACCAAACCACTTTATAAACCTACAAAAAGAAACTTGCTGACTTTTTTCTTCTGTGGTTCTTCTTCTTACATCTGCCTTCCTACCAACTGGACAGGTACTTGTATCCTAGTTTTCCTTACTCCCAAAATTCAGTTTGCCAACAGGGACGAAAGCTCCTTGTTCCCCTTGTGGTCCTGACGTGACACAAGCGGGTCACTTCATTGATCCCCTTACTTGTAGGGTTAGGAATTACTACTGCACCCGGCACATGCATAGCAGGCCTTACCACTTCTGTTGTCACCTTCCGAAGCCTCTCTAATGATTTCTCTTCCAGCATTGCAGTATTAACTTAATCACTATCCCTTCTTCAAGCTCAAGTAAATTCCCTAGCTGCAGTTGTCCTCCAAAACTGCAGCGATCTTGATTTGCTGACTGCTGAAAGAAGAGGTCTTTGCCTATTCCTAACTGGGTCTCAATACTCCTTCCGTTAGCAGGCCCCTTATACCCATTTTTCTCCTTCTCTTATTTGGACCTTGCCTTTTCTGATTAATCTCTCAATTCCTACAAAATCGTATCCAAGCGATAACCAATCAGTCAATACAAGTGTGCCTTCTAACAACCCCACAATATCACCCTGTGCCCTGAGGTCTCCCAGCAGTCTAAATTCTTTCCTGTTTTTAGGTTTCCACGCTGCCCCCAATCATGCTTGAAGAAGCCCTGAGAAACATCGCCCCACCACCCCTCTGTGCCAGCCTTCCTAATATTCCACCGCCCTCCACTTTTCATTTCTTTTTCCTTTATGTTACTAATATAAAAATACAGGAATGTAAGGTCTTTCAGGCTGACTGATGGCACCATGGACACCATGGTGACCCCACGACCTGCACGTACACCTCTGGATGGCCTCCTGGAATTAGAAAATCTGAAGTAACTGGAAGACCACGAAAACAGGAAGAATGATCAACCCCTGCAGCACCTGATTAACTTGAGACATTCTTCTGTTGTTCCTTATTCCCGCCTCAATTGATAAGGCAATTGGACTTTGGACTTTTAACCAACCTTGGTCAACCTTGTAACTCCAGATCCTAAGACCCCTTCCCAGCTTGCAAAAAACTGCCCTAAACTGTAACTTCTGTAAGTTTCCACTGCCTACCCCAAGCTTATAAAACCAACTCCTCTCTCACTGCTCTCTGCTGACTGTTTTTGGACTCTCAGCACACCCGAACCCAGGTGAATAAACAGCCATGTTGCTCACACAAAGCCTGCTTGGGGGTCTGTTCATTCAGAGCACGCATTTTCACAGATGGATTAAAGATTTAAACATAAGACCTAACACCATAAAAACCCTACAAGAAAACCTAGGCAATCCCATTTAGGACATAGGAGTGGGCAAAGGCTTCATGACTAAAACACCAAAAGCAACAGCAACAAAAGCCAAAATAGACAAATGGGATCTAATTAAATTAAAGAACTTCTGGAAAGCAAAAGAAACTATCATTAGAATGAACTGGCAACCAACAGAATGGGAAAAATTTTTTGCAATCTACCCATCTGACAAGGGGCTAATATCCAGAATCTACAAAGAACTTAAACAAATTTACAAGGAAAAAAAAAACCATCAAAAAGTGGGCAAAGGATATGAACAGACACTTTTCAAAAGAAGACATTTATTCAGCCAACATACATATGAAAAAAAGCTCATCATCCCTGGTCATTAGAGAAATGCAAATCAAAACTACATTGAGATACCATATTACACCAGTTAGAATGGTGATCATTAAAAAATCTGGAGAGGATGTGGAGAAATAGGAGTGCCTTTACACTGTTGGTGGAGTGTAAATTAGTTCAACCATTGTGGAAGACAGTGTGGTGATTCCTCAAGGACCTAGAACTAGAAATACCATTTGACCCACAATCCCATTACTGGGTATATACCCAAAGGATTATAAATCATTCTATTATAAAACACATGTTCACATATGTTTATTTCGGCACTATTTACAATAGCAAAGACTTGGGACCAACCCAATTGCCCATCAATGATAGACTGGATAAAGAAAATGTGGCACATATACACCATGGAATACTACGCAGCCATAAAAAAGATGAGATCATATCCTTTGCAGGGACATGGATGAAACTGGAAACCATCATTCTCAGCAAACTGACACAAGAACAGAAAACCAAACACCGCATGTTCTCACTCGTAAGTGGAAGTTGAACAATGAGAACACATGGACACAGGAAGGGAAACATCACACACAGTAGTGACCTGTTACGGGGTGGGGGCTTAGGGGAGGGATAGCAGTGGGGATTGGAGAGGGATAGGATTAGGAGAAATACCTAATGCAGATGACAGGATGATGGATGCAGCAAACCACCATGGCACGTGTCTACCTATGTAACGCACCTACATGTTTTGGACCTATACCCCAGAGCTTAAAGTATAATAAAAAACAAAAACAAAACTTATGGGAAAAACTTCATAACATTGGTCTTGTCAGTGATTTCTTGGATATGACACAGAAAGCACAGACAATAAAAGCAAAAACAGACAAATGAGATTGCATAAAATTTAAAAGCTTCTGTGCAGCAAATCAAACAATCCACAGAGTGAAAAGGTGACCTGTGGAATGGGAAAAATATTTGCCAACCATACATCTCTTAAGTTAATATCCAGAATACATAAGGAACTCTTACAGCTCAAAGCAAAAGCAGCAGCAACAACAACAAACTTGATTTTAAAATGGGCACAACACCTGAGTAGACATTTCTCCAAAGAAGACATACAAAAGGCCAACAGGCATAGGAAAACATCATATGCTCAGCATCACTAATTATCAGGGAAACGCAAAGCAAAAGCACAATGAGGTATCACTTTACTCCTGATAAGATGGTCATTATTTTTTTTAAGGAGAAGAAAGAAAAAGAAAATAGCAAGTGTTGACAAGGATGTGCAGAAACTGGAACTCCCATGCACTGGGTTGTTGGGAATATAAAATGACGCACCTGCTATAGAACATAGTATCGTGGTTATTCAACAAGATAAAAATAGAATTACCATATAATCCAGCAATCCCACTTCTGGGTGTTTCTCCAAAACTGAAAATAGAATCTTGAACATTTGCACACCAATGTTCAGGGAAGCATTATTCAAAATAGCCAAGAGGTAGAAACAATCTACATGCTTATTGATAGATGGATAAAGAAAATGTGGTATATACATAAAATGGAATATATAAAGCCTTAAAAAGGAAGGAAAGCCTGTCACGTATTACAATGTAGATGGACCTAGAGGACATAAGTCTTTTTTTTTTTTTTTTTTTTTGAGACAGAGTCTCGCTCTGTTGCCCAGGCTGGAGTGCGGTGGCATGATGTTGGCTCACTGCAACCTCCACCTCTGAGTTCAAGTGATTCTCCTGCCTCAGCCTCCCAAGTAGCTGGGACTACAGGCACCTTCCACGATGCCCGACTAATTTTTGTATTTTTAGTAGAGGCGAGGTTTCACCATATTGGCCAGGCTGCTCTTGAACTCCTGACCTTTTGAGCCATCTGCCTCAGCCTGCCAAAGCGCTGGGATTACAGGCATGAACCGCTACACCTGGCCTAAGGACATAATTGTAAGTGAAATAAGCCCATCATAGAAGATTAAATACTGCATGACTCCACTTATGGGATATCTAAAGTAGTCAAACTCATGGAAACAGGAAATATTATTAGAATGACAGTTGCAGGGGTGGGCATAGGGAAAATGGGGTTCTGTTCAATGGGTGTAGTTTTGGTCACGCAAGATGAAAAAGTTCTAGAGACCTGCCATACAGTAATGTGCATATAATTAACAGTACCGTACCATACTCTTAACCGTTGTTAAGAGGGCAGATTTTATGTTATATGCTTTTGCCACAGACACACACATACACACACAAAAATGCTCTCCCAGAAAGCTGTACCACTTACTGAGCTTAGCAGAAAAACCACTCAGTGTTTGTGACAAAGACCAAGCCCTTGGGTTCAACCTTACAAAATGTCATTGGAAGTCAAAAAGAAAATTTATTTAGCCCATCCACTCCTCATTACTTTAGGTTGTACCAAAAACAACAACAACAACAACAACAACAACAACAAACTCTGCATTTTTGTAACTAGAGCAAAAGCATTTTCTGCTCCTAAAAAAGATAAGTCAACAGTGGGTTTTGGTTTTTGTTTTTAAGACTTCCTGAGTAACCCTGATGCTCACCAGCTTTAGGAACCACTGTCACTGAAAGCAGAGAGAATATAATGTCCAGGAAGCCCCAGGTTATGTGTATATAGGAAGAAATATACCAGGTGAAGCCTTACCAGCCCCCTGCCAGGGGCCTGCCTTTGCTCTGGCACTGAGAGCCTGCACACAGAATGTGGAACTTGGAATGCACGCTGGAACCTGGCACTGTTGCTTCTCTCTTTGTACAGATGACCCTTGCAGTCTGACCAGGCAGCTTGAATCCAAAGAGCCAGGCTGTCAATGGGGAAGGCTGGCCAAGTCTGCCAAGAGGAGGCTAAGAGGGATTTCCTTGGCACCCAAGGCCATGACCGAGGTTATTCTTGCACTCAGAATCTCAGTTAAGTTGGCACATGGTAGCCTTCAGCTCTGGGGTGGGCTCACCTTAACAGGTACGCATGGGGACCCAGGCAGCCAGTTTGCTAATTTACTAATGAAAAATACAGCTGTCATGTCTGTAGATCATGGCCTCCTTTTCCTCTATGTGAGTTGCACATGAAGCCAAATCTGAAGGTTGTTTAATAAGAAACCAACACAAGCAAAATTCACCAGATGGTCTTTAAGAGAGCCACACCCACAACAGGGGATGCTGTGTTCTAGCCCATGAGGGAGGATGTCCTCTTTATGCCCAGACAGGACCTAATGGGCATTGCCAGCTTCCACAGCATCGGTGTGGGCTCTGCAGTCAGACTGCTGGAATTCAGATCTTAGTTCTGCACTTAACCATTTGTATGACTTTGGCAAAGCAGTATACCTCTCAAGGCCTCAGTTTCCTCATCTGTATAATAAAAATAATAGCAGCCGCATCACTGGATTATTGTAAGGATTAAATGAAAGAAGTGAGAGGTTCCGCACAATGCTAGGCAGAGTTAGTCTTCATGTCTGGTGGTTATTATCATCATGACCACTACTACTTTCATTATTGTTCTCCTCTGATTTAGGTCTCACTCTTCATCACAGTTGTTCTGTGTGTACAAGATACATATGAATGATTAGATTTCCGTTCACGAAATCTAATGATTAGGTTTCCGCTCACTAAAGTGGAAACATATTCTAGTCTCGCCTCCTTGTAATAAACTTAGCTGTCCTGACTGGAATTACTGACCCTCCTCCCCACAGCACTTCATGGTACCTTTGCCCACAGCCTCAGGTGACGGTGGGGGAAGTTTCTGAATCCCAGGGCTCTGAACTGGGGATGAGGTGGACGTTATCTCATAGTCTGTCACACATCCTTGTGCCTGAATCTGCAGTCCTGAGTTCTTGTGTCTGCTTCCTGCTCCCGCACTTCTCAATAGCTCTTTGGTGCTGGGACATGAAGGCAGCTGCAGGGTGGGGCAGTGTTAAAGTCAGGGATTGAGCAAGTGCCTCTGCAGGAATGCAGTGTGCCCATGTAATGTGTCTGGCAGATGTAGCTTCCAGTCTGTCTAGGATGGAGATTATGAGCCCGCATGGGCCTGTGACTTGAGCAAAACAACAAACCAAGAATGTGAAATGCACATGTCTATTCTTACACAAGGGTTCAGACACTTCTACCCTGCTGAAGCAGGCGGATGCTGTAAGTGGCATCCATCCTGCCTGTGCTTGGGCCTGGGGACAGCAGGAAGGGCGCTCCAAGCCACTTAGGGCTCATGAACTCTTCACTACTGGGGCCTCCCTCTAAACACAACCTCAGACCAACTTAACAGCTTTGGCTCACAATGCTGTCTCGGCTGTAATGCTTCCTCCTACTTAGTAAATCCCACCCATATACTTCAGGCCCAGTTTAAGCCCCACCACCTCCTTGATCTCGGGACTCCTCCTCCAAATGACAGCATGGTCTGTTTTCCAGACACAATTCAGAGCTGGATTGAGTGTTTTTCCAGTTATTTTTGCTTCCTTAGGAAACTTCTTTGAAAATAAGAATCGTCTTCCCTAGCAGGGGCTGGGTGCAGATAGGTGCCCCTTAAACATTGATTGATTGGATTAAGGGCTAGGGGATGGAGGGGAGGCATTTTTTTTTTTTTTTTGGCCTTTTAAAAAATTGTGAAATACAAGATGCAGTCAGAAAAGTACATAAAATGGCAATGTCTGACTTAATGAATTATTATGAGGCAAATATCCTATAACCACTATCCAGGTCGAGAGAACGTTGCCAACATCCCAGAAACCTCTCCATATGACCCTGGGGAAGCAGACATTTCCAAACTGGTGATTGTTTATTCGTGGGCATGGGAAAGGTCTTTATTTCATTTTTAGAAATGGGGTCTCACCATTTTGCTGAGGCTGGTCTCAAATTCCTGGGCTTAAGCGATCCTCCTGCCTTGGCCTCCCACAGTGCTGGGATTACCGTCATGGGCTACCATGCCTGGCCTGGGAAGGATCTTTAAAGGAAATGTGAGCTGGAAACTCTCTGCTCGGGTCCTTGCCTAAACAAGCTTGTTAGCACTGTGGAAGTACCAAATCCACAGCACCATGAGAGGGAGGATGCAGCCGCCGGGAAAGCTTGGTGGACAGAATGTGTTTGTCAGCCTAGAGCCCTTACCAGACCCTGAAACAACTGTTCTTCATGCCAGCTGGGATTTGTAAGCAAATCCAAGGTCAGATGTGTCTGGGTGTGTACATCCTACCCCTAGCCAAAAGGGAAGCAGGACCAAACGTGGGCCTCCAGACACTTGGAGACTGCAGACAGAGGAAGGAAGAGAAGGGGCTTTCCAGAGCTTGGAGCACAGGGCAACTTACAGGGCCCAGGAAGTGGGTAAGAAAATGTAGAGGAATGATGACTCCTTTGGGGGATTTTAAATACTGAATAGGTGGGAAGTGAGGCATCCCCTTTTCTTTCAAAAGTATTTTTTGGCTGGGTGAGGTGGCTTATACCTGTAATCCTAACACTGGGGGGCAGAGGCAGGAGGATCACTTAGGCCCAGGAGTTCAAGACCAGCCTAGGCATCATAGTGGGACCCCATCTCTATAATTTTTTTTTAATTAGCCAGAAATGATGAAGTGCGCCTGCGGTCCTAGCTACTCAGGAGGCTGAAGTAGGAGGCTCACTTGAGAGGTTAAGGCTACAGTGAGCTGGGATTGTGCCACTGTACTCCTAGCCTGGGCAATGAGTGAGACTCAGTCTCACAAAAGAAAAAAAGTACTTACTGAACACCTACTGTGTGCCAAGCACTGGGCAGGCACCAGAGATAGAGCAGAGAACATGGCAGACACCAACTCTGCCTTCTAAGCCCCTGAGGAATAGGAGAGAAGAACCGTGGGAAGGTAATCACACTACAATAGTGTGTTTAGGAACTGGCATTTCCAAGAAAGTCAAGAATGAAGGAATCCCATTCCAAAGCTCCCCTTCCAAGCTCATCATGGGCTCTTTTATAATATTGGTTTTTTGGTTTTTTTCTCTTTACTTCCTCTTAAAAAAAATCAAACAAACAAACAAAAAACCAAAACAAACAACAACAACAACAAAAACAGGGTCGAGTGCAGTGTCTCCTGCCTGTAATCCTAGCACTTTGGGAAGCTGAGGCAAGCAGATCACTGGAGGTCAGGCATTCAAGACCAGCTTGGCCAACATGGCAAAACCCCATCTCTACTAAAAACACAAAAATTAGCTGGGCATGGCAGTGGGTGCCTGCAGTCCCAGCTACTTGGGAGGCTGAGGCAAGAGAATCACTTGAACCCGGCAGGCCAAGATCACACCATTGCACTCCAGCCTTGGCAACAGATCAAGACTCCATCTCGAAAAAACAAAAATGAAAACAAAACAAAACAAAAAAATGGAATACGTGTGCAGAATGTTCACGTTTGTTACATAGGTATACGTGTACCATGGTGGTTTGCTGCACCTATTGACCTGTGCTTTAAGTTTCCTCTCCTAACCCCCACTCCCCAACAGGCCCTGGTGTGTGATGTTCCCCTCCCTGTGTCTGTGTTTTCAATGTTCAATTCCCATTTATGAGTGAGAACATCCAGTGTTTGGTTTTCTGTTCCTGCATTACTTTGCTGAGGATGATGGCTTCCAGCTTCATCCATGTCCCTGCAAAGGACATGATATCATTCCTTTGTATGGCTGCATAGTATTCCATGGTGTATATGTACCACATTTTCTTTATCCAGTCTATCATTGATGGGCATTTGCATTTGGGTTGTTTCCAAGTCTTTGCTTTGTAAATAGTGCTGCAATAAATATAAATGTGCATGTGCCTTTATAATAGCATGATTTATATTCCTTTCAGTATATACTAAGTAATGAGATTGCTGGGTCAAATAATATTTCTGGTTCTAGATCCTTTGAGGAATTGCCACACTGTCTTCCACAATGGTTGAACTAATTGACATTCCCACCAACAATGTAAAAGTGTTCCTATTTCTCTATGGCCTCACCAGCATCTATTGTTTCCTGACTTTTTAATAATCGCCATTCTGACTAGCATGAGATAGTAACTCATTGTGGTTTTGATTTGCGTTTCTTTGAAAATCAGTGATGTTGAGCTTTTTTTCTAAATTTGTTGGCCACATAGATGTCTTCTTTTGAGAAGTGTCTGTTCATATTCTTTGCTCGCTTTTTGATGGGATTGTTTTTTCTCTTGTAAGTTCCTTGTAAATTCTAGATATTAGACCTTTGTCAGATGGATAGATTGCAAAAATGTTCTCTCATTCTTTAGGTTGCTTGTTTACTCTGAGGATAGTTTCTTTTGTTGTGCTGAAGCTCTTTAGGTTAATTAGATCCCATTTGTGAATTTTGGCTTTTGGTGCCCTTGCTTTTGGCATTTTTGTCATGAAGTCTTTGCCCATTCCTATGCCCTAAATGGTATTGCCTAGGTTTTCTTCTAGGGTTTTATGGTTTGGGGTTTTACAATTAAGTCTTTAATCCATCTTGAGTTTATTCTTATATAAGGTGTAAGGAAAGGGGTCTAGTTTCAGTTTTCTACACGTGGCTAGTCAGTTTTCCCAGCATCATTTGCTGAACAGGAGAGGCTTTCTCCATTGTTTGTTTTTGTCAGGTTTGTCAAAGATCAGATGGTTGTAGGTGTGTGATGTTATTTCTGAGGTCTCTGCTCCATTGGCCTATATGTCTGTTTTGGTACCAGTACCCTGCCGTTTTGGTTACTGTAGCCTTGTTGTATAGTTTGAAGTCAGGTAGCGTGATACCTCCAGATTTGTTCTTTTTGCTTAGGATTGTCTTGGCTATGCAGGGTTTTCTTTGATTTCATATGAAATTTAAAATAGTTTTTTCTAACTCTGTAAAGAATGTCAATGGTAGTTTAATGGGAATAGCATTGAATCTATAAATTACTTTGGACAGTATGGCCATTTTTCGTGATACTGATTCTTCCTATGCATGAGGATGGAATGTTTTTCCATTTGTTTGTGTCC